TGGTGGGAGAAGGAAGGCGAAGGGAGGCCCAGCCTGGAAGGGCTGGGAAGTCCCCGTCCCAGCCTGCTGTCCCTGGGATGAGGTGCTGTCCCTCAGCCCTGGGCCTGCAACACAGCCACAGCAGCCACTGCATGGGCCGAGAGCCCCCCCAGAGTCGGGCAGTTTCAGGCCCATGCATTGCTGAGGAGGCTGTTGGGAAGATGTGTTTTATGGTGTTTCCTTGAACATAGGATTCATGTGTGCATTGGGGCCAGGGGTTTGGCCATGCCACTGGCCCTCCCCCAGAGCACATGGCATTGCTGGACAGTGGCTCCTGGGACCTGCTGCCCCCCAGTTGGCTTCACCCTTCTGTGATGGCTGCAGCCTCCGGAGGGTCTGAGGGGAGGGTGGCGGGCTCCTGCACCCACTCCCCTGCCTCCCCAGGTACATCCAGACACTGAAGGACCACAGGCCCCGGATCACATGGGACCACCAGGCTGCAGAGCACTTCTTCGAGTACAAGAAGTGAGTGTTGGGGTGTGGGTGGCCTGCCTCAGCCTTGTGTGCAGCAGGCAGCCCTGGGGGTGAGGTGGAGGGGAGCCTAGGGGGCCAGGGGTCCCCAGAACCATAAGCTCAATCGGGCAGGAGGTAGACTGCTGATAGGTGGGAGGACAGACCCACCAACCTCAGCAGGAAGGGGAGGAGGGGCAGGAAGGGGCAACACATGGGCCAGGACGGCCTGAGACAGGCAGGTGGACAGTCCCAGTTGTTTTGCAGGAGCCGCGGCGGGAGGCATGTCGTCTTCTACCCAACTCTGAAGGTGCGTGCACCGTGTGCTTTGGCTACCATGGTGTTGGGGTGAGGGCAGCGGTTTTGGTCAGATACACGGGGATGCAGCAGGCACTAGCCCTCCCCACAATGACCCTTGCCCTCCATGGTAGACAGTGGGACTCAGCAGAGGCTGACTTGCCACCCCGGGGGTCCTGGAGTTTAAATCACACTGCCCCCTGCCCGAATGTCCTATAGGATGGTTTGGGGGCAGGGGGCCCTGGCAGGTGCTGCCACGTCCCTCTGTACCCACAGTCCCTGCAGGTGCGGCTGGAGCTGGCCAGGGAGCTGGGCGTCGGGGTCTCCATCTGGGAGCTGGGCCAGGGCCTGGACTACTTCTTTGACCTGCTGTAGACTGGGCAGCATAGCCTCCAAGGTGGACGTGTACTTTTCTAAGCGATGGAGTGACTGACCAGGTGCAAAATACAGGCCTCTGTTCTGTGTGCCATGGCACATCTACTGCGGTCCAAGGTGGGGGGTGGGGGCCTAGATGTAGTGGGTCGCTCCATGCCCACATGCAAAGGGGGCCCTGCCTCAGGCACTCACTGGCTGCCTGCTGTCAGCTGGGTGGGGTAGGACCTGCAGACCCCGCCGCACACACCCACAATCATGCCTGTCCTACCACGGGCACACAACATGCACAGGTGCCTGACACCTGGCATAGTCATCGAGATGTCTCCATCAAGCCTGGCATGGCTGGAGTGTGGGGGCCATGTTGGAAAGTGGGGCTCAGAGAAGCCAGCCCCACCCCCTCGGACCCTGGCCCTGGGCTGGACCAGCTCTGCTCAGGTGACACAACCTCCTGAGCTGGCCTGGCCACATGTGGAATGTGGTGAGGGGCAGAGCCTTCTCGAAGAACGGTGGCAGCGCCCTTGGGCGGACGCTGGGACAGGAACCGTGGCCTACGAAACGATGCAGCGTGAGGAGCAGCTGACGGGCAGGTTCCAGTGATGTACTGAGGCCCAGACGCTGGGAAAGTCTGAGAACTCTGAAGCTCCGCAAGCCAAGGGAGGGCCAACCCTCATTCTCCCATCCCTGTCCCTCAGCCACGAGGGCTTTTCAGCTCCTCCCAGGTAAACTGTCTCAGGTGTGCTCTCTCCTGCTGTCTCCAAGCAGATGGATCCCTTCATAATGTGCTGGTCAAGGATCTGCCTGGTGAAGTCCTATCCCTTGCCCTGAGCTTCCATGAGGCTCCTTGGTGTCGGGGGCTGGGGGTTCTGGGGGTGGGGACGGGAGTGGGGGAGAGTTTTTAGAGAACAGATGTTTGTCCTTAGGGTCAGGGCCTGGCCCAACTCACAGTAAGGCCTGGTGGGCCATGACAAAAGCCAGCAGGGTCCCCCCAGCCCCCTCCCCAGCTTCAAAAGCCTAAGTGGGTGGGGAGGGCAAGGTCTGGGAGTCCTGGGCTCACCTCCCACTGCACCTTGGTTATCAAAACCCATGCATGGGCACACGGCAGGTGCTGGGGCAGTTGAGTGAAATGCACTGTCCCCATGGGCAGATGGAGTAACCAGCAGTGCTGGGGGGCAGAGGTCAACATCAGAGCCACAGACCCCAGCACACAGGTGATGAGTGCCCCAGGCAGGGTCCTGGGGTGGAGGCTGCAGGATGGGATGGAAGTGACTTCAGGTAGGAGTGGATGGGGCCTTGGGTGGGTCCTTCTAGCTGCCAAGAATGGCCATGGGGGGCAGGGGACCAGGGTGGGTGCTGTGTTCTGGGAACATGACAGAGGACTTCAGCCTAAGGGAGGGTCCCACTCCCTGGGCTTTGCTGTAAATGTGGTTTTCTCTTCATTTCCTGTTTTTTGCTGCCTGTGTACAAGATGCAGTTGGTTTTGGTGTGTTAACTGGGTGTCCCTAAACCTGCTAACTCCATATGTCAGCCTAAGGGAGGGTCCCACTCCCTGGGCTTTGCTGTAAATGTGGTTTTCTCTTCATTTCCTGTTTTTTGCTGCCTGTGGACAAGATGCAGTTGGTTTTGGTGTGTTAACTGGGTGTCCCTAAACCTGCTAACTCCATATGTTAGTTCTGGTAGATCCTCTGGAGTCCTGTGGCTTCTGTTGGAGTGATAAGACGGGAATCCAGCTCAGGGCCCACAGCTGGGACATGGCAATCTGGGTCATGTTCTCCCAAGCCACCCTCAGTTCATGGTGCAGGCTGGTGCAGGCAGAGTTGGTGGGGGGGGGGGGGGTCACACAGGGTGTCGACACCTGGTGTGTGATGGAGAGATGGTGGGGCCTG